TTGGGGCACCTGGGTGGCTCAGTGATTAAGCATCCGACTTCGGCTCAGGTCATGGTCTCACCATTCGTGGGTTTGAGCCCCGCGTTGGGCTCTGTGCTGACAGCTCCGGAACCTGAAGTCTGCTTCGGATTCTGTCTCCCTGTCTCTCTCTGCTCCTCCCCCCGATCGCGCGCGCGCTCTCTCTCTCTCAAAAATAAACAAACATTAAAAAGATTTTAAGTTGAGGTGTAATTGACATATAACATTAGTTTCAGGTATACAGCATAATGGTTTGATATTTGTATCTATTGCAAAATGGTCACCACAATATGTCTAGTTAACATCCATCACCATTTACAGATACATTTTTTTCCCTTGTGATGAGAACTTTTAATATTACATTATTACATTGTGATGAGAGCTTTTAGGAGCTACTCTCCTAGCAACCTTCAAATATGCAATACGGTTTTATTAAAAAAACATTTTTTTGTTTATTTATTTTTGAGAGACAGAGAGAGAGCAAGAATGGGGGAGGAGCAGAGAGAGACACACACACAGAATCCAAAGCAGGCTTCAGGCTCTGAGCTGTTGGCACAGGGCTCAAACCCATGAACCGTGAGATCATGACGCTTAACCGACTGAACCACCCAGGCACCCCCAATACAGTATTATTAACGTTAGTCACCACGCTGTTCTCTGTGGTGGGGTGCAGTCCACATCTGGTTAGTAGAATAACAAAATTTTTGAGACGTGATGTTCTTTGTTCCTTTGACAGGAAGATTTTGGGTTGGGGAGGGATTGGTCTTTGCTCCTTATTTTGAGAAATGTTTCCTTTTTTTTATTGTCTTTATAATAAAGTTCTAATTTAAATTTTATAAATTATGATGTGTGCACTTCTCTCTTCCTTTTTAAACTAGCATCACAGTATAAAGATGTTTTAAATTGGGAACATGGGGCTGGGTGGGAAGAAAGGGCTTTACCTCATACACGAGGAATCCTGTCTTTACCTGAGCATGGCCACAGCAGATATCTTATCTTGTTATGCTTGGACTTGTACCAAGGATCCATGAAGGATCTATAAACCTAACACAAAGGATTGTGTGCGGTTAGTGTAACTTTGAAGAGGGATATTCTAATTCTCTTCCAGTATCACATTAATTTTCATCTAATTTAGAATTCCCATTTGATAGCCTAAAATCCTTGGAAGTTCAAGGTAGCTCTTCTTTACACTTGACCCTGATCTTTACACAACAGAAAAGGAAATGGCACTGGATTGGGAACCAGAAAGTGCAGGCTCTAGTCTTGATTTTGCTGCTTACTAGTCTATAGTGATTACTGAATCTCTTTGAGCCTTAGTTTCCTCAACTCTATATATTTAATATCCCCTGCTTCAGAGTTATTACATTTTTCTTGAAAAGCCCAAGACACAAGGTAAATATAGGCTAACATCATTATGTTAGTAGTAGTCATTGTTATCTTTCGATCTCATTCTAAATTTAAAAGATAAGGCATATAGTATAGTGGTGATTAGTCTTGGGAAAAATACAGGGAAGTGAAGTCAGAATAAGGAATGGGAAAATGAACACATTGGTAAGTACAGATTTTTTAAAAGGGCAAAATTTTGATGTTAAAAGGTCCAATAACCTTTTAAATTATTTTTCTATGCCACACACTCTCACTTTGGATATAGTAGACATCTGTTGTGTTTTTCTACTTGTAACCTGCCTTCTTCTAGAAACAGCAATCTCTTTCCTTGGAGAACTGCTTTTCCCAAACTCCATGGTTTTCTGGTGGGCTGCTTAATGACATCACTCCATTCAACTGGCTAGAGGTGGGTATGCCTGGGGATTTGCAGGTGACCCCAGCCAGGAAAACCAGCATCCTTCCTTGACATTGTTTACATAGACCCTGATGGGGGAAATCTCTTTCTCTGGAGTTCTAAGTGGGATTTTTTAAATCTTGGAACTCCTTTGTGTAATAAACAACTACATCCCCCTCATTCTACCTTTCTTGCTGCCTAGACACTGGTGGTTGGGAACTAAGATCATCTTTTGAGGGATCTGAAACCATTTCTCCCACATCTTTACACTTTGCTTCTAAACACCACATCTGTTTACTAGATAATGTAGTTTCTAAGCAGTTAAGAACATGTATTAAAGAGCCACAGATTTAAAAACAAAAACACCAGGTAACCTGAAGTAAAAGAAAATCTCACACACACTTTTTTTTAAGTTTATTTATTTTGAGAGAGAGAGAGAGAGCATGGGCTAGTGCATGCAGGGGACAGGCAGAGAGAGAGAGAGAGAGAGAGAGAGAATCCCAAGTAGGCTCTGAGATGTCAGCACCAGAGAGAGGCCCTTGGGGCTCCATCCCACAAACCATGAGAACCTGAGATCAAGAGTTGGTCGCTTAACCACCCAGGTGCCCCACTTTCACTATTCTTTTATACCAAGTCTATTTAGTCAACAGTAGAATCTCCAGGTACCTAAAATACTTGTTATCATGAAATAGTTAATAAGCATTTAAATTTTCCAAATTGTTTTAAAAAATTGTTTTAACCTTTGTTTTGTTTGAACTAGGATTCAAACAATGGAGCAAAATGGTTTTGTTGTTGTTGTTTCTTTATCATTAAGCACATGGCCTGGGCCTGGTTACATTTTACCTCTCTTTGAAATAGTTATTTCCTTGAGAGCAATAGAATTTAGAAATTAATTCAAAGTCTCTTCATGTGCTTTACAAATATCAGATGAGGTTCTGGTAATGAAATCATGGGGCAGAAGTAATAGCTTAAAGTTATCCTTGGACATTAGAATCCAAAAGGGAGCCTTGACAAGCAAACACTTACGTTGATTTTGCAACCTTTGGTGTTTCCTTATCTTTATCTGTTTTGACTTGGTGGAAAACAAAAGGAGACCACCCTTTGGTTTCCCAATATGTAATAGAATATTGAAAATTTCTAATAGCAAATAAATGCATTAATATATTTCCTTAAATATATTTATTAAAAATATCTGTAGCTTTATTTACATTATCTTTGCCCTATAAGCCTTTGTTTGTTCTTAATAAAAGACTGAGAGATAGTATCACCCTCTCTAGGTATAAATGAGTATGTTTATTTTGCTTCAACTCAAATATGAAAGGATTAAAAGACTGTTATCGACAGCCCCACAACTTTCTTCTCCTAAAGTGGAGATGCCAAAGGATGAGGGGTGAAGAGACTTTTACCCATGTGTGATCTCTGCCCATCTCGTCAAATAAATGAACAATATAAGTGATCCACATAACTGCGAAGCAAGCTCAGCATTTTGACAAGTCCTGTAGACCCCACCCCTGACAACCAGACCATTATCCTTAAAGTTCACCTGGAGCTAACACTGACCCCAATTATAGTAACCTAACATTTACTTATTTCCGATCCGCACTATCCCTCTATTAAAAAGAACTACAAGGTCCAAAACCGGGGTATGGGTTTTGTCTGTTTTAGTCGGGTTGGGGGTTTTTTTTTTTTTTTCTTTCCTTGGTGGCTGAGGCATATGTTACTATTCTTACTTTACTATTAAGATCTGGAAACATTTTAAATAATAATAATAATAATTTAAAAAAACCTGTCTCATGGAGCATCCACTACCAGCATCCACTTTGCCTGGGGACTCCAAAGGTTTAAAACCTCATTAAGGCCATCCCACTTTACAGCTCCTTTCTGGTCCTTGTCGTATCAGCACTGGGTAGTGCTTTAGGAGTTCTGGGCTGGGACTGAAACTCATGATCTTCTGGCTCAGGTTCTGTGAACTGAGTCATTCTGCTGAGAGGATATTCATTGACTCAACAGGCAAAAGGAGGATGTCAGATCAGATAATTTCAGTCTTTTAAAGGCAAGATGAGAACATAAACAACACAGTGGAAGAATTTCACAGTGGAGTCTGGGGAAAAATGTCATTCCATTCCCAGCCCTTTCTCGCTTCCTTCTGCTGATGGGTTACACTTTAATTTAGAGGCAGAAATAGCTTCAAAAATTCATTTGAGGCTGCGACCAGGCCCTTTATTCTCCGAGGATGTCAATTCCCTGGGCACCCCGGGGCCTCTCTCCTTGGAAGCTGAGGCGGCCCCCCACTTGCAGCAGGGCATTCAGGAGCAGCCGGCGCGGGCCAGGAGCCGCGAGCAGTTCCTGCGTCAAGGTCCCTCGAGGCCCCGGCCCCAGAGTGCAGTGGCTGGACGCAAGGACCGACACCCTGGTGGGGCAGGCTCCCGCGCTGTCACCCAGCCCGGGTTGGCGCAGGGCCCAAGGCCGATTCAGTGGCCTCACCGACCCAGCGTCCGCGCCGGAACTCCCTCCGTTGCCCCTTCTGACCAGGTCTTCCGGGACCTGGGCAGGGGACCCCGGCGCCCAACTCCCCTGGGGCGCTGGCTCTCCTTCGGCCTCCCTTCCCTCCCGGCATGCCACCGCCCCGCCGCCCCCCTCCCCGCTGCCCCCCTCCCGCACTCCCTGGCTTCCCGCCACCTGGCACCTCAGTTTGCCTCCCCGCGATCGCGCCAGGTGAGCGCAGATGCCTGCACCGCCGCCGCCGCCGCCGCCGCCGCAGAGTCGCCGGGCGGACGCTCAGTGCACCAGGCGCGGAGGACGGGGGGGGCTTCTGGGGTCACCAGAACTGTTGGGAGGCCGAGCTGGGCTCTCCTCCACCGCCAGGCCACCACCTGCGACCCCACCCCTGCTCCACCTTCACTCGAGGCGCGCGCTCCGGGCCGCGCTCGGAAGTCGGGGGTCGGCGCCGAAGTGCGGAGCAGTGTCAGGTGGGTGAGGGAGGGCGCGGAGGCGGCGCGCGAAACTTCGGCGAGCCGCGCGGTCCTCGCCAGCGGCGCCCACTGGCCCGTTTCTGCTCGGCCTGAAACCGCCGCCACCGCCCGGCGCGCGGAATCGGCCCCTGGGCCCCGGGCTCAGCCGCGGGCCTCCTGGGGACGCCGCTGGGCGAGAGGAACGCGCCCGCGCCCTTGCGTTCGCCGTGGCCCAGCGCGCGGGCGGCGGGATGAGGGGCAGCGAGCGGGCCGCGCCGGCGCTGCGGCCCCGGGGGCGGCTCTGGCCGGTGTTGGCGGTGCTGGCGGCCGCCGCGGCCGGCTGTGCCCGGGCAGCCATGGACGAGTGCACGGACGAGGGCGGGCGGTCGCAGCGCTGCATGCCCGAGTTCGTCAACGCCGCCTTCAACGTGACCGTGGTGGCCACCAACACGTGCGGGGCTCCGCCCGAGGAGTACTGTGTGCAGACCGGGGTGACCGGGGTCACCAAGTCCTGTCACCTGTGCGACGCCGGGCAGCCCCACCTGCAGCACGGGGCAGCCTTCCTGACCGACTACAACAACCAGGCCGACACCACCTGGTGGCAAAGCCAGACCATGCTGGCTGGGGTGCAGTACCCCAACTCCATCAACCTCACGCTGCACCTGGGTAAGCGGTGACAGCCCTGTTCCTATTACTGCTCGCCAGCAGCGCAGCCGCCCGGTCACCTCCACCCCGTGGCCCAGCCTGCGGGGCTCAGACAGCTGCGGGCTGGCTCTGTGCGTCCCAGCATGGGCCACACGTATTCCCTCCTCCAACTTCTAAACTGGATCTAGCACTTAACATTCCGCGAGGGCCAAGATGCTTCGCTCTAGCATCTCTGTTTGCTTTTCTACTCTTTCGAACTTAACCGGATTCTCGCTCGCTTAGCGATTCGCCGTTTGGGCTGTTTTGTCCCTCTTTTTTTTGAAGCGTTAATCAGAAACCCCTATTCTCGCTTTTCTCCCTCCTAGCGGGGCCATCACAGCGCATTCTTGGGTCAGAGATAGGAAGGTCACCTTAAGCACTTTTATCTTGTTTAAATGCCCCTCTCCCTGGGTTTGAGCGTGATTGCTGTTTGCTCTATTGAAGAAGCTGGAGAGGAAAGGGTCTCTAGTGCCGGGAATTTGAGGGAAGCAAATGTCTTTACTACCGGTATGGCCTACGCGTAATTAAAATATAAATTCACTTTTAAGGTTATTGTTCTTCAGAGTTGTTCAGCTTTAATTAAGGACCACAAAGCTGTTTCACTGCTAATCCTGGTACAGAGAAAACAAAAGAAAGTGTGCACTCACTGTAATTTCTGGCCACAGTTTGGTCCCTGGGTAAAAAGGCTCTCCTTACTGGATTTCCTTTTACTTTGATTCAAAACAAGTGTAGAAACCTTTTGGAAATCAGGAAAAGGATGTATAGAAAACTGTATTGCTCAGTAGTGGATAAAGATGGACATGTTTATCCTAAGGTATCAAAATCATTTTTGATCCTAATAAGTTTTTCTTCACTGAAATAGAGAAATAAGCAGAATAATTCATTATTGTGTTTAACAGTAAAATATGTGTGAGAAACTGGCACCTGATTTGCAGGGCTTCAATCCCTATTGCAGTGAAAGAATTGATTTTACTGGCCTCTGGTAGGAGAACATAGGGCCCAGATAGTTCTTTTGGTCATGGTTTTGCATTTTTCTTTCCACTGCTCTCTGGCACATTAAACTTTACGTAAGTGGCAAGATTCCAGAGGAAGAATATAACTTACAAAAAGTGCTTTGAAAAGTAGTCAAACTACTGTGTGTGAAGTAAGTTTTAGAAGAGGAGTGTTTAGCACTATTTTATTTCTAGACAAGTTACTAGGAAGATGAACTTTGGGAAAACGAGTTCATAAAGTGAAACTCTGAGGCACCTGTTTTCAGAGATGGAAGAAGCAAACTGTGCTTCAGTGTTTTAAAGGTATTGGAAATGCATAGAACCAGCAGCGTCTTGGAACAGGTGCCTCCCCAGGACACAGCAAGAGTCCCAGGATCTTCTAAAACTTTGTGGGGATGCTGACTCTTTAGACAGCTATATTCTCTTATGTACTGTATATTTTATGCAATGTAATTTGACCAAAATTATTTTTATTATTTTTAAGTTTATTTATTTATTTTGAGGGGGGAGGAGGGGCACAGAGAGGGAGAGAAAGAATCCCAAGTACGCTCCATGCCATCAGCACGGAGCCTGATGCTAGGCTCATACCCCAGAACCATGAGATCATGACCTGAGCCAAAAGCAAGAGTCGGACACTTAACTGACTGACTGAGCACCCCAGGTGCCCCTGTATCCAATTATTTTTGTTGAAATTTTAACTTATTAAAATTTCTGTGTTGTATTTTGAATGCCTACAAAGTCTTATTTAACTATTTTTAAATAGTAAAATTTCAAAGCAAAAGCATTTGCTTGATGTTTCAAAGTGCCTGAGATTCAATTGAAAATTTCTGAATAAGAATCTGTTATGTAGGTTAAAGTTGGGCTGTCAGTCTTGGCCTTCTGAGTTTTCTGCTGTGGGTACTATGTAGCACAAGGTTATTTCAGGTGATTGCAGAGGTGGGTAAATTACCCAAAGATTACTTCTTTGTTACAAAGGTAACTGGTGGGTAAGACAGTAACAGTAGGTTGTTACTGTTGGGGAGCAGATATATTAATTTTGAGTCATGGTGATTTAAAGGTCAAAAGAAATCTTAGAGGTCACCTAGTTAGGACTCTTACATGACTTTGTACTCTAAAAATGTTTTACGCTTGGACTTGTTTTTGCCGAAAAAGTCTTCAGCTTTTGGTAATAATTCGTGGTAAGTGAAGTTCATAAAACCAAGGGTTCAAATAAAGTTATTTAAAATAGTTTCCATATGAATAGTGCAATTAACTGTAAAAACATTTACTTGAAACTTTTTAGGTAGACAATTTCTAAAAATTTGAGTAGAACTTATTGTACTTTTTCTTGGATCAGAAATGATGTCCTGGAGGAAATTGTGTGTGATGGAAAAGGTGGAAAAGAAGGGAGACTTGTGTAGTGGGGTTGATGTCTCAATCTCTCTCTCTCTCTCTTTCTCTCTCTTTCTCCTCCCTGCCCCCCAGCCCGTCCCCTTTTCCCTGCTCCTTTTTTAATGACAAGGATATATGTATACATGCAGGTTATGGTCTATAATTTATAGAAAGGGCTTTATGTATCATTGTGTGTTGTCATGGTCAGCATATTCAGTCCCTAACTTTAGTTACTCCATGGGCTCTAGCTAGCTGTTTCCCATGAATTCAAGTACCATGACTGTTTGTGCATCTATTAAATCTCCCATCCAGTTCAAATTTCACATACCCTTAAGCAAGTGATGCATATTGTGCTTTGCCCTTACAGAGCCTGTGAAACTCGAAGTGAGCAGGGTGAAAGACGCAGGGCTAGCCAGCACTTTGCTCTCTTCCTTTTTGATGTTGAACTTAAACACAGTAAACTTTAAAATAAGCAGAGTGAGATTGCACTTAAGTCGTTATGAGAAACATACATGTTTTGGCATTAATCATAAGTCATTTTTTTTCTTGTAAAAATAAAACATGACATGGTGAATTGAAACAGTTAAGGATAATGACTAGTGAGTCTCTTCCTCTTCAACTGCTAAGTTGTAGGAGACCACCAGTCAGTTTCTCATGTAGCCTTCCAGAAACTTTTCATGCATACACATGTATCTATAAAATTATATGTTATCCTTTTAACTGCTACCATTGTGTGTGTGTGTGTGGGGGGGGGGTAAGGCATATTCTAATTGATAGCAAGGACCAATTAGATCATTGTACCATTATCAACACTAGTACAAAAGCCAGGAAAATCAGTGTTGATTCTGAAAGCAGCCATGTCTTAAGCACCATATACAGTAATCCAGGGTGCAAAGTATCCTCAGATATAATCACATAAAGTTGCTGTGGGAACAAGAATTGCATTTTCTGCCTGTTGTGGAGAGAAAGCTCAGCCAGGCACCCTTTTCTAAAAAGAATTCTTATTTTGCATTCAACTTCTGGATCTTCTTTCCTAACTTTCTATATGGATTATTTGACTGCTACTCAAAAGTTTGGCTTTTGTGTTTTATAAGTTATAGTAAGTTTTATTAGTATCAGTGGGATAGTCGATAGTAAGATTGTAGCTGAGGATTTGCCTTATATTAAACAGCCTTTTTAATTAACTTGATAGTCATTGCGGATGGAAACTTGGCAGGCTGGGTCTTAATTTCGGAGGAAGGTAGCTTTCCCCCTTTCTGAAAACAATTAGATTAAGGAAGAGAGTGCCTATAAACCAACTCAATCAAAGTTTATGGAACTCCTAAAATTTACACCAAGACCAGATTTGTTTCCAACCTCCTCTAAGCTTTAGGACCAAACAGTGATTAAATGATACTTTTTAGCTAATATTTAGCTAAATATTAGCTATGTGTCTATGTGTGTCTATGTCAGAATAATTGATATATAAGGATATTACATTTTATTCTGTTTCATTCTTTCAGTGTACATTTAAAATTAAACAGCTGTTTTTGTTTTTGTTTTTTTTCCCCCCAGGACAGTCTTTGCCAGGTAGGTTCTAACTGTGTCAGGGAATAGTTCACTCTGGTGACTTCACTGTGGTATTTGCGTACCCTGAGGGGACACTATTTTAGTTTGTCTCACAAAGGCCTGATTTACATTTTGCAGGTTTCAACTTGAGAAGTTAGGGAGCTCTTCTTTAATGGCCAGTGGTTGTTGAACACGGTTTTATAAAGTTGCTGTTGGCTCTTTTCCTTTTCTACAATTCACTGCTTTTTCTGTGTATAATCTTCTCCAGGTTTCTAAAGCATTCAGAGAAACAATTTACACTTTAAGAGAGAAGTTGGAACTATAAGCACCCCCCCCCCCC